TTCAAGCTTGCTTGACTGTGCTTGCTAAGCCCGTGTCAACCACCTGGATATTTGCTTGTAGCAGGCAGGTAGGCACACAGGAGACACATTCGTAAGATGATGGAGTGCGGCACAGAGGACACGGGCACTCAAGTATTTATGTGGTCTGGCAAAAACCGCCTCTAGACCATAAGTAAATAGAGGCGAATGGCTGAGTTCCAAATCGAGGAAGGAGAAGGGACAAGGAAGGGATATTCACCTCGCTAGACACAGGCAATATGGGTGTAGTGCCTGCAGTCGCAGTGCAATTTTCAAGGTCATTCACTGGGCCCACAGTCATCTCGAGAGTTACCAACCCTGTACTACTTGTTAATTACTCCAAACCCACAGCACTTAACACATCTAGCACACGTGTCTTGGAATGACAGACAAATTTTCACTACATAAGAACTAGTTCTCACAACACCAAAGGTACGGCTGGAACACTGTAGAACGTTCACAAAGGCATTCTGGGATTCAGAATGCCTTGGCCTTCACTGGCCTTCACTTGGCCTTCACTGGCTGGCTTGGAGAGCTGTTTGGCCTGGATCAGCTAAACCTCGCTCCCTTATCCCATATGTAGATAATGGCGACGAGTTAAGGGATACCGGTGAATAGGAAAGTCGAGGAAGAGACATTCACCTCACTAGACACACGCAGTATGGGTGTAAGTGGCATGCGGGTCTTATAGTGCCATTTTCAAGGCCACCCAGCAGGCCAGACATTCCTCACTCATTTTAAGCCTACGTAGGTACTGATGGTAGCACAATGTCCTAAGTAAGCGTAATCTACTCATGCAAATAGTTACAACAAATCTGAAGCACTTGCGGAACTCACATATTCGAGTACCAGCGGAGCAGCAAAATACACCTCTACACTGCACCTTGATAGAGGCGAATGGCTGAGTTTAAAGGCGGAGAGTTGGGGATACAGGAGAACAGCAGGGGTAACTGAGCACGCACATTCGCCTTTCTTCACATAGTCAATGTGGGCGAAAGTCTCAGGCAGGTGATGCAGTGCCTCGCTCAAGGTCACTGACTGAGGCAGACTTCTCAAGAGTTACCAAACACTGCAATACTCGTACAAATAGTTACTCCAAACTTGCAGAACTTCTAGCACACGTGTCTTGGAGTGAAAGACGAATTTTCAGTGTGTGGACACCTGGGTTACCAACTCATGTAGGACTGCACACTCGTCATTATTCCTCAGGTTGGTAAAGCGATGAGTTGTGAGCATTTTGAGGGGCATGAGTAGCAGTGGACTAGCAAAATTCGCCTCTACACTGTATGTTGATAGAGGCGAAAGGCTGAGGTCAAATGAAAGGCAGAGGGGAAGCAGAGGCCTGTGAGGGCCTTTGCAAAAAGGAAAACTATTTCCAGTGTTTCACTAGGTATATCCTTAGTCACAGCTCGCACATAATAGTTCTCCCAACACTGAAGCTGTCTTCCAACAGTAGGAGTTTTAATGATGACTTATCAGTCGGGAGAAATGGGTAGGCCTGCGAATTAGTAGGTCCAGATCCCCAGCACACGTCTACTCCCCTCAACCACTCAGCCGAGACTGTTTGTTCTACATACCTGGAAAAAAAAAATTTGGGTTAGTTTTCGAATCCCTAGCAACTTTAATTTCATTGTCCCTTTTAGCTTTTCTTATCCCCTTTTTAATGTCCCTCTTAATGTCAATATACTGATTCATAAGATGACCCTCACCTCTTTTGATACGCCTATAAATTACCTTCTTATGCCCTAGTAGATATTTCAGCTTCTTATTCATCCATTTTGGGTCATTTCTATTTGATCTAATTTCTTTATACGGGATAAACGTTCTTTGAGCAGCATGTATAGTGTTCAGAAAACTGTCATATTGATAGCTCTCTTCGTTACCCCAGTCAACAGATGATAAGTGTTCTCTAAGCCCATCGTAATCTGCTATGCGAAAATCTGGGACTGTTACTGAGTTATCCCTACTATCATACTTCCATTCAATGCTAAATGCAATTGATTTGTGGTCGCTAGCACCCAGTTCCTCTAAATTATTAACAAGGGATTCATTGTTTGCCAGTACTAAGTCAAGCAGGTTATTACCCCTTGTAGGTTCTGTCACAAACTGCCTCAAAAAACAATCCTGAACTACTTCTAAGAAGTCGTATGATTCTAAATTCCCAGTCAAGAAATTCCAATCAATATGACTAAAGTTAAAGTCTCCTAGATTACTACATTATTGTGCCTTGTGGCCCTAACAATTTCCTCCCATAGTAGTCTCCCTTGGTCCCTAAGTTTGGGGGACTGTATATCACACCTAAAATCAATTTTTCATGCCCCTCTGAAAATTCTATCCAAACAGACTCTGTATGAGTTACTTCAGACTTAATACCCGTTTTTATGCAACAGTTCAAGCGATCTCGGACATACAATGCCACCCCACCCCCCTTCCCGATACTTCTATCTACTTGGAACAATTTAAAACCCTGAATGTGACATTCCGCAGGCATATCCCGACTTTTTTAATTAAACCACGTCTCAGTTATGGCAAATACATCAATGTTACCTGCACTAGCAACTAATCGGGAAGAACTAAAAGCCATAAATGAAATCGAAAGAAACCCAAAGTATTTCTTCTCCTATGCCAAATCAAAGTCGAGAACAACTTCCAGTATTGGGCCCACTACTTAAACAAGATGGGTCCTACACAGATGACAGCAAGGAAATGAGTGAGCTACTCAAGTCCCAATATGGCTCAGTTTTTAGCAAGCCGCTAACCAGACTGAGAGTCGAAGATCAAAATGATTTTTTTTATGAGAGAGCCACAAAATTTGGTTAACACAAGCCTATCCGATGTTATCCTGACGCCAAATGACTTCGAACAGGCGATAAATGACATGCCCATGCACTCTGCCCCAGGGCCAGACTCATGGAACTCCGTGTTCATCAAGAACTGCAAGAAGCCCCTATCACGAGCCTTTTCCATCCTATGGAGAGGGAGCATGGACACGGGGATCGTCCCACAGTTACTAAAAACAACAGACATAGCCCCACTCCACAAAGGGGGCAGTAAAGCAACAGCAAAGAACTACAGACTGATAGCACTAACATCCCATATCATAAAAATCTTTGAAAGGGTCCTAAGAAGCAAGATCACCACCCATCTAGAAATCCATCAGTTACATAACCCAGGGCAACATGGGTTTAGAACAGGTCGCTCCTGTCTGTCTCAACTATTGGATCACTACGACAAGGTCCTAAATGCACTAGAAGATAAAAAGAATGCAGATGTAATATATACAGACTTTGCAAAAGCCTTCGACAAGTGTGACCATGGCGTAATAGCGCACAAAATGCGTGCTAAAGGAATAACAGGAAAAGTCGGTCGATGGATCTATAATTTCCTCACTAACAGAGCACAGAGAGTAGTCGTCAACAGAGTAAAGTCTGAGGCAGCTATGGTGAAAAGCTCTGTTCCACAAGGCACAGTACTCGCTCCCATCTTGTTCCTCATCCTCATATCCGACATAGACAAGGATGGCAGCCACAGCACCGTGTCTTCCTTCGCAGATGACACCCGAATCTGCATGACAGTGTCTTCCATTGCAGACACTGCAAGGCTCCAGGCGGACATCAACCGAATCTTTCAATGGGCTGCAGAAAACAATATGAAGTTCAACGATGAGAAATTTCAATTACTCAGATATGGTAAACACGAGGAAATTAAATCTTCATCAGAGTACAAAACAAATTCTGGCTACAAAATAGAGCAAAACACCAATGTCAAAGACCTGGGAGTGATCATGTTGGAGGATCTCACCTACAAGGACCATAACATTGTATCAATCGCATCTGCTAGAAAAATGACAGGATGGATAATGAGAACCTTCAAAACTAGGGAGGCCAAGCCCATGATGACACTCTTCAGGTCACTTGTTCTATCTAGGCTGGAATATTGCTGCACACTAACAGCACCTTTCAAGGCAGGTGAAATTGCTGACCTAGAAAATGTACAGAGAACCTTCACGGCACGCATAACAGAGATAAAACACCTCAATTACTGGGAGCGCTTGTGGTTCCTTAGTAACATTAAGTTACTTAAGTGAACACTGACCTTAATTTTTGTTCATGAGTATAATTTAATATTTACTTAATTAAATTTTGTCATTTATTTTAATGATGTATCCAGTCTTCCTCAAACTTTCATAGAAAATTAATTATACTGTAACATTATATTTCTAGTGTAAGTAACTTGTTGTATCTTCACTATCTTCACTATCTCTTCAATCACTCCAAGAAACCAAAGTAAGTAAGTTTATTCAGGTATACACAAATACAGTTACATAGAATTATCATACATAGCAGCAGCATATGTGTAGAGAACCTGGGATAACCCAGAAATAATAAGTCATACTTTTAAAACTGGACCATTTGTACATTAGTTACCTTTCTTATTGTGCATATAAGTATAGTTAATTACGTTAGACATCCTTCTTGATAGTCTATTTTTAATTCTAAAGTAGTCTTTAACAATTAGGATTAGTTTACCCGAAACGTAATGCATACTAGTGGCTTTCTTTTGTGCCTAACAATGTTTTATTACATGTGAACTACATTATTTTTGTACCGCATGAATAGAAATAAAAATATGAATTTGAATTAGAATTTGAATCATAAAATTGAGTTTCTCAGGTGATCCTGACCGCTCCCATCATGAGTAAACACATAATGCAACGAATCAACAGTAGTATTTTTAACAAACACTTCATAAAGTTATTTAATACATACTGGGGTAATAACTACTGTGTCAACGTCAGGTACAATTAATTTTTGGTTACAGTTTAATACTCTTGTCAATCAAATTATTACGTTAAATAAATGAGTTAAACATGACAGGTGGCATCCAATACAACACTGACTGTGTTAACGTGATGCTATTTTGTTCCTCATTATTACCCTTTTTATGAGATATAATTTTATTATAATAGTGTTGGAGGAGAGAGTTTATACGTCTATACTGTCTCTCTCTGCAGACGAAAATTGTCAAAATAGGAGTGTCGGTGGTGGCTTATTTAAGTTAGGAATGGGTGTAAATTGGTGGGTTTAATGGGGTGTGGTTGAGGTTGGCGGCGGAGCAGTGCATGATGGAGGAGGTAGACCTGAGTGACCAGCCCAGACAGAGGGTCAACAGTGATAACTTGAGTAGTGAGGTGGACGAGACTCCAGACCCCAGGATCCAGGTCCGTCACAACAACAACACTTAATGATAATAATAATAGTAATTAGTATCTATTTACTACAAGTACATGTACAAGGTATACAGTCCTAGCTGACATCAATGACATACTACTATATAGAAAGCTGCTCGTTATGTAGAGCACTTCGGGCAAATTAGGTTAATTGTCCCAGGATGCGACCCATACCAATTGACTAATACCCAAGTACCTATTTTACTGATGGGTGAACATGGACAACTGGTGTCAGGAAACACACACAATGTTTCCACTTCGCTGGGAATTGAACTCGGACCGTCACTGTGTGAAGCGAGAGCGTTTGCCACCAGGCAAATTAATGCTCTCTACCTCTACCTTACAAATTAATAACTTTTAAAATAATACCTTTTATTATGATATATAACGTCATGTTAACTTTTTATTATAGGGTTCGGTAGATATGTGCCAAAGTATTAGTGGGTAATTTTGATGATATTGAAATAGACTTTTAAATTGAGTATCAGTATCAGCATTGGTAAAAAATTTGGTATTATACCTTCACTAGTGTTTAGTATAATTTACATAAAAGTATTGTTTTCTCGTATTTTTGTTATTTTAATCCAATTACTCGTTAAACCAGCAAGGGTTTCTTAAATGCTATTACCTAACTCAAACCATGGCTGTTATTGGATGGAGCTACTTGGAAATTATTTGTTCTGTACATACCAGCTACCTAAAGTGCTTGTTAATAGTTATTTCTTGTGCAAATTTTATTTTAAGAGCTTTAGCAAAAATAATAGCTTTTCTTTGGCTCAAATGCAGTCTTCACCAATCAGCAGTTTGTATCGATTCAGTTGACACATCTCGATAATCACAATGAGCATAAACAAAGACACCAGCTCATCTCTGCTGATGACTAAGTTAGGTTCTATTACATTAGCTTATATTGAATTATGTTAAGTAAGTACAGGTACAACTACACATAAGTACAATTATTATACATAGTGTAGATTACCTAGGCCAACCCAAAGTCAGATAAAGTGACTTATTTCCATTGGGTTATGTAAGGTTATATTGGTTTTGCTAGGTTGTTTCCCAGTTGCACAACATAACACTATCTCCATGGCAGTATCCACTTAACTATTTGATTTACACTATAAATTATTGCCAAAACACACTCAGGAGTAACATACAGCACATAAATTACCCAACTACCTGAATAAATTTTAGTATACCCAAGGTATACTAAAATTTTATTCTAGGGCTAGAATTCAGCAGTTAGTAAACCTTATGATTAGTTTGCTGGAAATGCATTTGCAAAATTAATGACTTTCTCAAGATCCTTATGTGTATTGTATCTAATTATATTAGTATAATATGAAGCTCAATATGTAATCATTTTAACCCTTTCACGGTCGTGACCCCTCCTCTCAAACTTGTTCTCAGGGTCACAAAATTTAAAAAAAAAAAAAAAAAAAAGTTACTTTTTCTTTATAAAATGGTAGAGAATCCTTTCTGAAGGTTATAAAACAAAAATTACAAAATTTGATGGAAAACTGACAAAATTACACTTTTTGCGAATTTTGCTGTCAGCTGTATTTACACATCGCTGATTTTGTAGACTTTGAGTCCGATTTTAGGACAATTCCATTGTTCCAGTTGACCAAATTTGTAGCTATTTCACTAGTATGTCTTCCAGTCTATTGATTGAGCACAAGAAACTGCCTATTGTGGTGGCCCGGTGGTCTGGTGGCTAAAGCTCCCGCTTCACACACGGAGGGCCCGGGTTCGATTCCCGGCGGGTGGAAATTCCGACACGTTTCCTTACACCTATTGTCCTGTTCACCTAGCAGCAAATAGGTACCTGGGTGTTAGTCGACTGGTGTGGGTCGCATCCTGGGGGACAAGATTAAGGACCCCAATGGAAATAAGTTAGACAGTCCTCGATGACGCACTGACTTTCTTGGGTTATCCTGGGTGGCTAACCCTCCGGGGTTAAAAATCCGAACGAAATCTTATCTTATCTTATCTTATCTTATTCAACTATTTAAACTACTCAATAATGTGATCAGAAATTGGTAATTTGGCCAATTTCATACAAAATTCAAGGAATGCCGGTTTCAAAATAGGGTCTAGAGTGAATGGTGCAGACATTCCTGGCACTAAAATAGCATTTTCTCTGTTCATTAGTCATGTCTTCAGGCCCTTCTTATATTACACTTGCTTTCTATTTTTTAATTTTTATTAACACAAAAAATAAAAGATTACTGTTATGCAGACTACTGCATTATTGTAATAATTGCATAAATAATGTCGGTGCATTCCTAAATGCATGTTAGACTGGCCAGTTGGACATGTATTGGACAAGTGATGTCATTTGTGTATCCTGGAATATCAGCAAAAATCAAATATTTTTACTACTCTGATCTCAATTTCAAGCTACTTTCAGCCCTAAAAACCATTGAAATTCATCTCTTTCTGTAATACAGTGGAACCTTTGTTTTCACTTTTAATTCGTTCCAGAGAGTCCGATGAAAACCAAATTCGACAAAAACAAAAGCAATATTTCCCTCAAAAATAATGTAAATCTAATTAATCCGTTCCAGACACCCAAAAATATTAACAAAAAATACATTTTAATGAGAAAAACTATAATTTTACATACAGAAAACAGTGAGAAATAAATATAAAGCACTAGTGAAATGGATAAATGAACATTTAAATCACTTTTACCTCCATTGAAGACTTGTTGGCATATGGAAGATGGCGAGGAAAGGAGTGGGAGGAGAGGTTATCTCTACCACCATCACTACCACCCTCTACCACCATCACTACCACCCTCTACCACCATCACTACCACCCTCTACCACCATCACTACCACCCTCTACCACCATCACTACCACCATCACTACCACCATCACTACACCATCTCTACACATCACTACCACCATCACTACCACCATCACTACCACCATCACTACCACCATCACTACCACCCTCTACCACCATCACTACCACCATCACTACCACCATCACTACCACCCTCTACCACCTTCACTACCACCCTCTACCACCATCACTACCACCCTCTACCACCATCACTACCACCCTCTACCACCATCACAACCACCACACACCACCCTCTACCACCATCACAACCACCACTACCACCCTCTACCACCATCACAACCACCACTACCACCCTCTACCACCATCACACCACCACTACCACCCTCTACCACCATCACACCACCACTACCACCCTCTACCACCATCACAAGCCACCACTACCACCCTCTACCACCATCACACCACCACTACCACCCTCTACCACCATCACACCACCACTACCACCCTCTACCACCATCACAGCCACCACTACCACCCTCTACCACCATCACAGCCACCACTACCACCCTCAAACCACCATCACAGCCACCACTACCACCCTCTACCACCATCACAGCCACCACTACCACCCTCTACCACCATCACACCACCACTACCACCCTCTACCACCATCACAACCACCACTACCACCCATCACACCACCACAACCCCCCTCTACCACCATCACAACCACCACTACCACCCTCTACCACCATCACAACCACCACTACCACCCTCTACCACCATCACAACCACCACTACCACCCTCTACCACCATCACAACCACCACTACCACCCTCTACCACCATCACAACCACCACTACCACCCTCTACCACCATCACAACCACCACTACCACCCTCTACCACCATCGCAACCACCACTACCACCCTCTACCACCATCACAACCACCACTACCACCCTCTACCACCATCACAACCACCACTACCACCCTCTACCACCATCACACCCACCACTACCACCCTCTACCACCATCACAACCACCACTACCACCCTCTACCACCATCACAACCACCACTACCACCCTCTACCACCATCACAATCACTACCACCCTTTACCACCATCACTGCCACTACCACCCTCTACCACCATCACAATCACTACCACCTTCTACCACCATCACAATCACTACCACCCTTTACCACCATCGCAATCACTACCACCCTCTACCACCATCACTACCACCCTCTACCACCATCACTGCCACTACCACCCTCTACCACCATCACTGCCACTACCACCCTCTACCACCATCACTGCCACTACCACCCTCTACCACCATCACTGCCACTACCACCCTCTACCACTACCACCTTCTACCACCATCACCACCACCCTCTACCACCATTGAATTCTATCGTGTTTCTTGCCTTCTTTGACTCTATGGTGGCTTATTTAGCAGTCGAAATCAATAAACAAGCACAAAAAAAAAATGGATTATTGCGAAATGTTTCGTGTGAATGCTCAAGGTAATGTTCACTCAACGAGAAACAAAGAAGCCAGACTGACTCAGAATACGTGCATGGGATGCTTTGTGTGGGCTCGGCAAATGGACACATTCGGTATGGCAGATGAAAACCTAGGTGACGAACGAAAACTGGGACAATATTTTGACAACAAAAATTGTCGAAAACCAAATTCAACGAAAACCAGGGCAGACGAAAACCAAGGTTCCACTATGTATATTCCAGTCCATCAAATGAGACCAAGAAACCGAAAATACAATCATAAAAACCATACGACAGTATACCACAGAGTCATTGTTTTAAACCAGAAAACACTCAGATTTTTTTCCCATGCACTGTGTGCTGCAGGATTTTTTTTTAGTATATGGTGTGCACTTACCACATACCCATTATCTCATGTCTAGGCCCATATTTACTGCTCACAGCTTAACTGAGTGAACTCTGCTCATGACTTTGTGCTGTGGGACCAACACTGGCTTCAGAGCCGTGATACAACGGTACCGACCCTGAAAGAGTCAATGTATAACTATGTACTGTATTTGTATGGCTCTTTAGAAATAAATAATTTTAATCTTAATTTTTTTAAATTTGTAATTGAGGCTACTTGACTAAACCAGGTGCCAAACGTGAGCATGTATTGAAGTGCATTTATTTGAAATTTCCTTACTTGGGGTGGAAGAGAAGGGAGGGAGAGGGGAAGATAATAAAAGGAAAAAAATACTGAGAGGGAAGAAAACATTTTACAGTATTTTTGTTATGGAAAGCTTTGTATTATGAACTCTACCTGGTTGGTCTTGCAATACCAAAGCTAGTTGTTCTTGTAGGTTTTGAAGCTTCTTGATGTATGTTCTCTAATAATTGTTATATATTTTATGCAAGTTGAAATATGAAGTATCTGCTCTATATTTATATTTGTCAGGTTGAACTGGAACGCCTCAACACCTCTACCGATACCATTAACAAATTGGAAGTTGATCTTGATGTAAGTATACTGTTTTTATGTTAAACAGTACAGCATTTATTAATTTTCTCATGATGACACTAGTTAATGCATAAACAAAAGGTATTATTGAATACAGAACTTCACTGTGGTACTTTAATTTTACAGGAAGCTCGCATGTTATTCCGGCAACTCCTTGCCGACTCCACCCACCGTATTGACATCCTGGCCAAGAGACTGGGTAAATGTGTTGAGCAGTCACGGCCATATTATGATGCTCGTATCAATGCAAAGCAGGTAATTCAACTACCTTGCAAAATTTTAATCAACCTTGCTAACATGACATTGTTTTTCTCTTCATTTAAGCTTTTTGTTTTTTAGCCCTCTTTTTTTTTTATTTGAAGTTAATACTGCATATACTAAAATATATTGAATAGATTTTTAAACATCTGAATGCAGTTTGTTCTTTACATTGTATTTTATGTTAGGGGACAGAGGATTGAGCCTCTAAATGTGTTAAATGTCCCATATAAATGCACATAATACTTAATATAATATTTTTATCTTCATTTTTTCGTCATGACACAATCCATTGTGTATACATGTTCTCTATACATATTTTGGCTCACTGTTTTCTGTATCACATTTTGGATCTTTCTGAATTAATTTGATTATACTTTCTCATTATGTACATATGTACAGTAAACCTTCAATTTCATGGACTTGGGAATTATGGGACATAGTCAGCTAGGTTAATTGGTTTTTGAAACTACGGACAAAGTTTGTTAAGTACATAAATGTCTGTTGTAATGATCATGGCAGAACAGTCACATCGCTATAGACCATCACAATGTCATTACTGACCACCTGCTCCACCTTATTATAATGCCCATTAAATCGAGGGTTTACTTGTCCACCTGTGATGTGATTGGACAACTCGTCTGGTGCTCTTCTATACTAAAAGTCTCAGCCCTGCCTAACTCATGAAGCTTATGGAAAAGTTAGTATGCTTGTTATAAACCACACTGAAGAGATAACATTAATAGCTAGGCATCTTAGGACGATATTTTCAGGACACAGGGACAAACCAGACAAAAATACAAAATTTTTTCTCATTCTATTTATGGCCAGTATATGAATTTTAAGCTGAAGACCAGTAACCCAGGTCATTCTATAGGATTCTAATGACAAAACATTATTTATACCTACCATACCGTAGATGGGATACAAGGAGAATAGAAGCATCAGGGAAGAGAGAGATGAAGGTTTATAAACTAAAAGAGGAGGCAGTTAGGGAAAGATATAAACAGCTATTGGAGGATAGATGGGCTAATGAGAGCATAGGCAATGGGGTCGAAGAGGTATGGGGTAGGTTTAAAAATGTAGTGTTAGTGTTCAGCAGAAGTTTGTGGTTACAGGAAAGTGGGTGCGGGAGGGAAGAGGAGCGATTGGTGGAATGATGATGTAAAGAGAGTAGTAAGGGAGAAAAAGTTAGCATATGAGAAGTTTTTACAAAGTAGAAGTGATGCAAGGAGGGAAGAGTATATGGAGAAAAAGAAGAGGTTAAGAGAGTGGTGAAGCAATGTAAAAAGAGAGCAAATGAGAGAGTGGGTGAGATGTTATCAAAAAATTTTGTTGAAAATAAGAAAAAGTTTTGGAGTGAGATTAACAAGTTAAGGAAGCCTAGAGAACAAATGGATTTGTCACTTAAAAATAGGAGAGGCGAGTTATTAAATGGAGAGTTAGAGGTATTGGGAAGATGGAGGGAATATTTTGAGGAATTCTTAAATGTTGTTGAAGATAGGGAAGCTGTGATTTTGTGTATAGGGCAAGGAGGAGTAACATCTTGTAGGAGTGAAGAAGAGCCATTTGTGAGTGTGGGGGAAGTTCGTGAGGCAGTAGGTAAAATGAAAGGGGGTAAGGCAGCCGGGATTGATGGGATAAAGATAGAAATGTTAAAAGCAGGTGGGGATATAGTTTTGGAGTGGCTGGTGCAATTTATTTATTTATTTATTTATTTTATTTAGTAATTTGAGCATACTACAGAGGTACAAAAAAATACAGGTAAGAGCAGCATGCCAAAGCCACTTGTATGCATAGCATTACGGGCTGGCTTAAAATTAACTTAAGATTAACTAAGCAATGATGTAATCAATGATAAAACACTATTGTAAACAGATAACAATAAAGCACAAATGAGTATTACAAAGACAGGTCATATGGTTGCATGCATTGCTGTACATTCAGTCGAATGGAGTATTCTGTTAGGTAGTGTATTTAAAAAATAACAAAGTTAGATTGGGTCTTAGGTTTAACATTTATGTGATATAATTGTGAGAAACATTTAAGATATACAATTTATAAGGTTCAGTTATTCAGTATTTATTTGGTTTTGGGTGAGTAAGTGATCTTTGAGAAGAGACTTGAATTTATAAACAGGTAGTGTTTCTTTTATATTTACAGATAATGAATTCCAGATTTTAGGGCCTTTTATGTGCATTAAGTTTTTGCATAGCGTGAGATGGACACGAGGAACATCAAAGAGTGATCTGTGCCTTGTGTTATGGTCATGTGTTCTGTTGAGGTTGGCAAGGAGATGTTTGAGGGGAGGGTTAATATCAGAGTTAAGTGTTCTGTGTATGTATGGAAGAGGGTAAGGTACCTAGGGATTGGCAGAGAGCATGCATAGTTCCTTTGTATAAATGCAAAGGGGACAAAAGAGAGTGCAAAAATTATAGGGGGATAAGTCTGTTGAGTATACCTGGTAAAGTGTATGGTAGAGTTATTATTGAAAGAATTAAGAGTAAGACGGAGAATAGGATAGCAGATGAACAAGGAGGCTTTAGGTAAGGTAGGGGGTGTGTGGACCAGGTGTTTACAGTGAAACACATAAGTGAACAGTATTTAGATAAGGCTGAAGAGGTCTTTGTGGTATTTATGGATTTGGAAAAGGCGTATGACAGGGTGGATAGGGGGGCAGTGTGGCAGATGTTGCAGGTGTATGGTGTAGGAGGTAGGTTACTGAAAGCAGTGAAGAGTTTTTACGAGGATAGTGAGGCTCAAGTTAGAGTATGTAGGAAAGAGGGAAATTATTTCCCAGTAAAAGTAGGCCTTAGACAAGGATGTGTGATGTCACCGTGGTTGTTTAATATATTTATAGATGGGGTTGTAAGAGAAGTAAATGCGAGGGTCTTGGCAAGAGGCGTGGAGTTAAAAGATAAAGAATCACACATAAAGTGGGAGTTGTCACAGTTGCTCTTTGCTGATGACACTGTGCTCTTGGGAGATTCTGAAGAGAAGTTGCAGAGATTGGTGGATGAATTTGGTAGGATGTGCAAAAGAAGAAAATTAAAAGTGAATACAGGAAAGAGTAAGGTTATGAGGATAACAAAAAGATTAGGTGATGAAAGATTGGATATCAGATTGGAGGGAGAGAGTATGGAGGAGGTGAATGTATTCAGATATTTGGGAGTGGACGTGTCAGCGGATGGGTCTGTGAAAGATGAGGTGAATCATAGAATTGATGAGGGGAAAAGGTTGAGTGGTGCACTTAGGAGTCTGTGGAGACAAAGAACTTTGTCCTTGGAGGCAAAGAGGGGAATGTATGAGAGTGTAGTTTTACCAACGCTCTTATATGGGTGTGAAGCATTGGTGATGAATGTTGCAGCGAGGAGAAGGCTGGAGGCAGTGGAGATGTCATGTCTGAGGGCAATGTGTGGTGTGAATATAATGCAGAGAATTTGTAGTTTGGAAGTTAGGAGGAGGTGCGGGATTACCAAAACTGTTGTCCAGAGGGCTGAGGAAGGGTTGTTGAGGTGGTTCAGACATGTAGAGAGAATGGAGCGAAACAGAGTGACTTCAAGAGTGTATCAGTCTGTAGTGGAAGGAAGGCGGGGCAGGGGTCGGCCTAGGAAAGGTTGGAGGGAGGGGGTAAAGGAGGTTTTGTGTGCGAGGGGCTTGGACTTCCAGCAGGCATGCGTGAGCGTGTTTGATAGGAGTGAATGGAGACAAATGGTTTTTAATACTTGACGTGCTGTTGGAGTGTGAGCAAAGTAACATTTATGAAGGGGTTCAGGGAAACCGGCAGGCCGGACTTGAGTCCTGGAGGTGGGAAGTACAGTGCCTGCACTCTGAAGGAGGGGTGTTAATGTTGCAGTTTAAAAACTGTAGTGTAAAGCACCCTTCTGGCAAGACAGTGATGGAGTGAATGATGGTGAAAGTTTTTCTTTTTCGGGCCACCCTGCCTTGGTGGGAATCGGCCAGTGTGATAATAATAATAATAAAAAAGACCTTTCACTCAAGCAAATATGAAATGCTTACTGGAAACTGAACCTAGGCCAAAATTATTGTGGTGCAAAATGCAAATAAAATGTACCCAAGAAAATATTATACACTAGATTGACTATACGGTGGTACCTCGAGTTATGAACTTAATTAATTCCAGAAGGCTGTTCGAGTGCCATTATGGAATGAATTTGTTCAAGCAGGCACTGGACAAGCACCTAAAGTCAGTACCTGACCAGCTGGGTTGTGGCTCGTATGTCAGTTTGCATGCAGCCTACAGTAACAGCCTGATTGATCATGCCCTGATCCACCATGAGGCCTGATCACAGACTAGGCCGCAGGGGCGTTGACCCCCGGAACCCTCTCCAGGTATACTCCATAAGGAATAATGTAAATTAGATTAGTCCATTTCAGACCCCCAAAAATACATTTACAAAAGCACACTTACATAATTGTTCGAGTTGGGAGCTGTTCGAAACTCGAAGTACCACTGTGTTTGGGTCTTTTGTAAGTAAATAACAGATAAATGACCCCTAATACTGACCTGAATTGTTTCCCTGATGAAGTCACATGGTTACTCTTGCCTCTGTCTCATGACAAGGTTGCATCAGCTACTATCATCAAACAAGGTATGTAAGTAGAGCATCGAGAAACTATTTCTTAACCTTCAATTGATGGTACTAGATGTCTCGACTTCTTCTATTCCTTGGAAAACTACTTATGTACAATGGAATTGGTTCAAGACCCCAAGAAGAGGACCAGTACAGCTTCTCCTCACTTAGTGATGACTCGGACTTATGATGGGCTCTCTGACTAGAATGCATACCTAAATAATGTATATTAGAGCTGATTTCCTCTTTTCTGTTTTTTTTTTTTTTTTTTTACAATATACAGTACACTGCTGTACAGGTTGACCATCACTAATCCAGCATCATCGGGACCTGTAGGGTGCCGGGTTAGTGATTTTGTCAGACTACAGAGTGGTTAGGTTAGAATACACTTAACCCAACAGCGATATTTATGCATCGGCAATTTCACTCATTTTTACATCCTATTTTTGGCTCATTTCATTGTTCCAGTCTACCAGACTCATAGCTATTTCACTAGTATTCCTACTATCTGATCTATGATCAATTTGCAATCTTCCTTGGTAATGAACACATTCAAGCTGAGCTGTTGTTTTGGTGTACATTCAATCTTCATCTCCAGATGTTGGAATGAGTGAGAGAGACAGCCCTCTATACAGGGAACTTCTGGTTTTGAGAAAAAAATTCTCCACAGGGGGTGTGACCCTACCAATACCTTGATGGAAGTTGACCAGTGTGTTCAAAAGCACAATTTGTACATTTTTGTAGCATGTTAACATTTTTGTAATTTTTTTGTAACATAAAAGGCCTAAAAGATTTTCCATTTCACAGCATCTTAATCTGTTTATCCTGCAGAATAAGAATTACGGGCCAGAGAACGTTTTTTTTTTTTTTTTTTTTTTTTTTTTTTTTTGCCACTGCAAATCTTTCTGACAGATTTGTAATGGCCAAAAATAAATTCTATGGGTGAGAAAATATTTTCTTTTGAATCTTCTAAAAAGATGCATCAGAAATAAAATTATGGACGGAAACAAACACACGCATGCACGTGCACAGACACACTCACTCTCAGATACTGGAGTATGCAGCACCAGTTTGGAACCCACACCTGGTCAAGCACATCAAGCAATTAGAGAAGGTGCAGAGGTTTGCAACAACTCTAGTTCCAGAGCTAAGTGGAGTGTCCTGTGAAGAAAGGTTAATGGATGAGTCAGAGATGTTAGGAAGCATTTCTTTAGTCATAGAGTTGCCGGGAAGTGGGATAGTCTGGCTAGTGACATAGTTGAGGCAGGAACCATACGTAGTTTTAAGATGAGGTATGATAAAGCTCATGGAACAGGGAGAGAGAGGACCTAGTAGCAATCAGTGAAGAGGCGGGGCCAGGAGATATGGCTCGACCCCTGCAACCACAAATAGGTGAGTACGAATAGGTGAGTACACTCTCACACACACTCGTTCATTTCCCTAATGTTCATCTTTGATTTCTGCAAATTATACAAAATTCTGAATGCTGCCATGGTGTCATTCATTGGATCTTGTATCATGGACTTCTTTGGATAAATATTAAAAAATTGGATTATCTTTAATTTCAGATTTGTCATTTTGGATGCTAGATTAATTAGGTCTTATACACATGTGATAAATGTTGAGTGTTAGTCATCATACAAGCAGAAATCTTTTTGAGTTCAATTTTAATTATACTGTTCAGGTCTACAGGATCTGGATCAGAGGTAACAAAGGTTGTATCATCTGCAGACAGAACTGGTTTGAGTTGTTGAAATATGTTTAATAGATTTGTGATGTTGAGGAGAAAACAGGTGACATACGCCCAAACATTTAACACCCATACTGTTATCTGTGAGGGAGTGGAGAGCATATGTAAAGATATAATGGAAAAGAGGAAGAAATTGGGTGGGAGAATGGTAAGAAAATAAAAGAAAGAATGAAAGGGAGGGGAGAAAGGGATTAATCTAAGTACTATATAGTTTTTGTACTTCATTGGGAGTGCATTTCCAATTGTAATATGAGTGTCTAAGGGGGACAATGGGCTTTAGGTTCTGAACACTGGTAGTGATTGATTTTCAGGAATGCTCTAGGGTAGTAGTTGGGGGGAGGACCTACTGTTATGCCTGTTTATCTGCTACTACAAGCTTGATGATAGTTGAGGTATGAGCATAATCTTGCTCACTATTGTATCTTTGTTCTTTTAAATTTCATAAGCATTACAGTTGTCTTTAATACTGATAGAAGTGTTGGATTGCCAGTCTTGGTCTCTATTATGCTAGTATTAGCATTGACATTGTGAGTGCTATAGACATTTTTTGTAGGCACTCAGGGAGACCCAGGCAGCTGCTGTGCGTTATGAGCGTGCCATGAGCCAGCATGCTGCTGCACGGGAGATGGTATTCCTGGCAGAAGAAGGACTTATGCAGAAGGGCTGCGTCTTCGACCACACGTGGCAGGAGATGCTCAATCATGCCACATCAAAGGTGCAGTCATGTACAGGGAAGCTTCTTAGTCCTTTACTCTAGTTCTTGGCACTTTAGTTACATTGTTGTTTCATTTCTTTCTATAGATATCCTGAGAATGAGATAACATTCAATTCAGAAGATAGGGTTATTGTGATTGGATTTGGTAAGACAGTATAGGGATGAGGATTTTAATACCATACTCAAATGGAGAGATGAAGACTGAAAAGCTAGCTACAGTATTTGCTTATCAAAATGAGTGGACAGTTTGAGCTAGGAAAATTGAACTAATGGTGAAACAAATGAGCATTATGGCCAAAATTATTTTTTTTTTCTTTCTAACTGACACTTCTGAAGAAAGCTGTGTGTTGTAGTAAGATATGCATTAAAACACAGGTTGATCTAAAGTTTTTATGAATGAAAGTAAATGAAATGTAGGGTAGGATCACCCTAACTTAACAATGATGTATGCATGTCTAATATTTACCTGCACTCTTCCATTTCCCTTTTTGTCCTCTGTATTCTGATCCATGTCTCATGCCTAGATTCACTTCATCCATGTCTCATGCCTAGATTCGCTTCATGCACTTATAAACAGGTAATAACATAATGACTGTACTAGTACTGTTCTCACATAACACTTCCATTACCCTCTGTTCAGGTTAATGATGCTGAACGAGAAAAAATTGAGAGTGCTGCAGAACATCGGCGCACATCGGCACTCTACCATGAGGCTGAGACCAGGGTCAAAGCTTTACAGAAAGAGCTGAAGAGAGCTATTGCAAAGTCCAGGTAAATTTTTTTTTGTTACTTTGCATGTAGAGTAGCTGTTTATTAGATATTGAATTTAGATGTTTTCACCTTTACACTTGTATTAGAATGGATGAACATTCAGATTTCAAATGTAAGGGAAAGAAATGGAACAGTAGTTGAATGTAATGCATGCTTCTCTGATTTATAAGTTGAGAGTTGAAATTTTAAACCAAACGTACATTAGACATGGAGGAGTAAAAAAAATATTGATGAAATATTTTTATAATTGTAAACAAGACTGAATTAACTTCACATATTCAGAGGCACAGTTTAGTCATAAATAAAAAATAAAAATCTTGCATATAAGCATATATAGCTAGGCTTAAGTAAGCATCTTGCACACAAGTAGTCTCCCTTATAGCTAGGCTTAAGTAAACATCTTGCATACTGGTAATCTCCCTTATACCTAGGCTTAGGTATAACCTAAACATCTTGCACACTGGTAGTCTCCCTTACAGCTAGGCTTTTTCTTGCCTTCCGCTTGGTTTCTGCAGATACAGCATCACAGTCTTTCAGATTGGTACTAAAACTTGGAAGCTCTTAAGAAAAAAGTAACGAGTTACAATATATACTGTAGTCATAGAAACTTATGACTACATAGAAGCTGAGAACTAAGAAGTACAGTATCTAAGCATACAATGTTATGGATATTTACAGGTCAAGAATATATGCATTGTTACAAATTCAACATGGGTACTTTGTTGGTAAAATATAGCACATTTTGAAATGAATGAGCTGAGAAATAAACATAATTATTTACCAGTCTTGTACTAAAAGTTACTAATGAAATTAAGAGGGGGGAAATGTTCGAAATTAGAGTGAAGGTCAAAGAACCTAGTCATCTAAACCAGTTTGAGGATGTTGAAAAATATAATAAAAATTGCATAAGAATGTTACCTTTAAATTACCTGTAGTTGCTTCTGTGGGTCAGTGCCTCTGATGCCCAGTTTCAATGGGGAAAAGACAAGCGATTATTTTTCTTATAGTGGATATAGAATAGTGTACGTATTAAGATTTCTGAAGTTTCAATTATGCCCAACATACTCTTAACCCCCATCAGTGCTGGGACTCAAAATTAAAAGTTTTGACTTTGTCAGGAAGTTTCTCCCCAAAAACTGTCTTCTAATACTGTATAGTAGAGAATTTTTTTTTTTTTAAAGGGAAAATTAAAGAATTACAGCAGTACCTCGGCACTCGAACAGCTCCCAACTCGAACCAACTCGAATACAGCCTCTCCTCACTTAACGCTGGAGTTCTGTTTCAAAGACCAGTGGGTAGTGGGTTTGTGTCAGCTGTCTCTGATATTGTTTTAATGTCACATTTGCACCATTTATAACATTTTTAGTATGTTTTTAATTGTTTATACAGTAGTGTACTGTATATTGTAATAAACATAATAGAGGAAATCAGCTGTAATATACATTATTTAGGTATGCATACTGGTCAGAGAGCCTGTCGTAAGTCTAAGTCATCGGTAAACGAGTACATCGCTAAGTGAGGAGAGGCTGTAATTCAGTATTCGAATGCTTTGTTCGGTAATAAAATTGCTTGCTAGTCAACCGTTTGCTTGACACTTGACCAAACAATGTGTATCAGTCTCCCTGCAGCTGTTGCTTGGTGCAAAACTCCGCTGAACTTCACTGTAAACTAGTGTTTCTTCGCATTTTTTGGTGTTTTTTATATTTGTCTAAATAAGTCACCATGGGGGCTTAAGATGATTAGTGATAACAGCTAACCAAAAAAGAAAACTGGTTAGTCACAGTAGAGATGAAAACTTATTATTAATCATTCCTTGTGGGAAATTCGTTCGGTACTTGAACAGAGTGGCACTTGAAAAGCCTCCTGGAACAAATTAAGTTCGAGTACTGAGGTATGTGAAGGCTTCCTCAGCCCTGTAACAACTTCAGTCAGTATTACTCAGGCTGGCTCCTCCTCAGGAAAGTTAGTGAATAGAAAAAGAAATAATAACAGACAAACATAAACACTTTATTATATAGAAAATATAAAATGTAAAACACTTAAATATGAAACATTAATCCTACATTAAAGAAAATGAAAAATGAAAAATATAAATGATAACTGAATTCAACGCTAATTTAAATGTATATAAAACGTGGGTGTCTGGTGTTGGTGACACTGTTGTTGAAATCGTAGCCGTTGCTGATGATGGGGGGGGGGGGGTCGCAGGTGTTGGTGACCACCACTGGCTAGTTCTTCACAGATTATTGCCGTGAGTATAATATCCCGATGACAGGAAAGCAGGTTCTTTACCGCTGCAATGATGTGGGGTTATGTCCTGCAATTTCATACAGGTGCACAGGTACTTCAATACAAAATGGAGAAGTCTCTGGACGTTAGTCCTTCTCCTGTTCTGCTCGTTGATTGCCAGGTGACCCTCTCTGACATCCAAGAGTAGTGTTGGGAGCTGTGAGTCGAGTGATTTACTGTTTGACCAGAGCCCCACACGTCACCTTTCGAGGGGGGGGGGAAGAGGGAGGGGAAGGGATAGCGGGAGCTAGACTGACCCTACGTTAACAAGCAGCCGGCAATCAAACTATCACTTTAGGGGTGGGGGAGAAAAGGCGGGAAAAATGGGAGCGTGACTTACCCTACCTTAACTAGTAGCCGGC